AGAAACTAAGAAAATGACTGGCCGATAACAACATTTTGATCTATACATTGGGTGTTATTATTATTTTTATATCTAGACGAAAAGAAAATTATCAACGAGAAATGACTAATGATAAAAATAAAAGCACCGACTCCTTCTAGTGATTACTTAAAAATATTAATATCATTTGAAAAACTAGTTCTACATTTGTTATCCATGAGTCATTTTCTTAATTAAATTATGTTCTATTTCATAAGCTAGTTAAATATGTATATTACTACTTCATAAAAAAAAATTGAAACACATAAATTATGAAGTCGTCTTCTTTTTTCTCCTCGCCTTAATCCCTTGTCTTCATATCGCATTCAATAACTTGACCAAACCATATAAGTCTAATTTCCCTCATCTTATCCACGATCTTCTCTAGTCACTCCACTTATCTATCTAAGCATTCTCATCTCTGCTCTACTTTCTTATCAACCGCCCAACACTCTGAACCATACATCATAGCTGGTCTCACTATTGTCTTGTAGAATTTACCTTTCAGCTTCATTGGAATTCTTTTATCGCATAAGACACCACACGCTTATATCTACTTCTACCACATGCACTAAATTCTGTGACTTACATCCTCGTCAATACCACCGCTTTTTTGCACAACTGAGTCCTAAATACTTAAAACATTCCACTTATCACTGGTCTTTCTCTACTTTTGCTCTTCTGCCATACTTTGAATTACTTTTTCTTACTTTTTATGATTTTTTTGAACGTCCTCATNTTTTCTTACTTTTTATGATTTTTTTTAACGTCCTCATCCCACCACCAGGTTCCCTTGTTTCCTGGCATTCTACTCCTACTCTCACCAACAATCCCCTTTATAATATTGTTAACACAACTAGCAAATCTATACCACACATCATTTATGTCTCCTTCGACATTCTACTGTCCTCTCCTTTACCGTCTTGACAAACTCTTTTTCATTTTACCCTTTCAATTTCTACCAAAGAATTTTCGATTTTTGTCCCGTGTTCTTTTTGTTTTTTTATATTCTTTTTCCGGTACACCAAAAATCCATTATCATCAGTTTATGCTGTGTAGTTACACTCTCGCCTAGTATAACTATACAATCCTTTACTCGATTTACGCTCTCTCTCTTCTACATGAAATAAACCAATCTGTGATCTATTCCTCCCACTCTTATAAGTTATATAATGTTCTTCCCTCGTTCTGAAATAAGTATTAACCACAGCAAGATCATACGATACCAATTAAATTATCTGATATGGTTCAAAAAAAATAATTATTAGCTAATAAATCAATGTAAGGTCAAATACAATGTAGGTTCTACATCTTTAATTAGCAAACAATTCTACAACTCTTCAATTTATTTTACTGTATAACTGACTAGCATTTTCTCCCAAGTGTTCCTTATAATTAGACATCTTGAGAACATACACTTTCTAGATTCGCTGTAATTAAAATTTTTAATGAACAAAAATTATTAATTATTTGGGAATGATCTATTATACGGAGTCATGTTCAACCAAAGATATTTACTAACAATAAAAAGCCGTCTCCCATATTCACCTTACCACTAGTTAAAGTCGACACCGTATGGAGTTTATGCACCATCGCTAAATGAACATAACGAATATTAGGCTTTATCATCTTGTATTAATTACTTTTAAACATAATTGATTTTACAACTTTGTATAACGCTAGTAGACATTTAAAAATATAAGATTTGTGTTAATACTTTTACACAAACAACTTTATAAATTATAATCTTCAATTTTAACCGCTATTTTTATATCATTAAAAGTTCGTTTGGTAACGTTTATTTACCAATTTTGCTCTATTATACATGGTGTTAATTTCACAGATAACTCAAACATGACTACAACATGGTCGAATTTTAGAACTTCATAGCACGCTATTATTGCTACTTTATATATATGTAAAGAGTGAGAGAGACAGAAGTATTGGTACAATTGACAAATTACCTTTTGGAAATATCCATAGATTTTATTCCATTTAATCATTAACTCTTTATTTTGTATTTTGTATTCATAGACTTAAATCACCATTATATGATGACTCATCTGAAGATCTCGCAGTCAGTGTTATAAATACAATATTTAACGTCGATAAAAGGCAATCGTTAATTAATACGAAAATTTTAGTGAACAATCAAATTAAAGATTTAAATAAAATACAGTATGATGAAGAAAATCTAAAAAAATTCTTTAAAAAAAAGCAAGAAGTTGCACACATATTTAAGTGTAGGTATAGTGAATTATTAAGACACGTTAATGGTTATTTAACTACTATACAACATTTATGCATCTTAGAATATAAAAATAAACATATGAATTTGATTACTTGTGTAAATTCCTTGAAAAGTACATTCCCAGCAGTTACAACTATGATCAATCGTTTATTAGCAATTTTGGCCTTGTTTAAAAAAGCGTCCATTGGTGATTATAAGGCGAAATCACAGTCATGTTTTAAAATTGTAGTGAAAATTGTATCAGAATATAATAATATTTTAAAAAACCTAAATATTTTTTTAAATTTTGAAACTAATGTAACAAATGCAAAAGAATTTTTAGAAGAGATGAGTACAAAGCAATGTGTTGTGACCCATATATTTTCAGATACTAAATGCAATCAATTTCTTAATGAATATTGTGTTCTTGACAAACCATTGTTAAATAAATATGAATTAATACGCTCATATCAAAATATTGATAATAATTTAATAATTCTTAGATTAAGTTCAGATTTAATACAAATTTGTGAAAATTTTGTTAAAACTGACTACGTTTTATATTTTAGTGAATTATTAAACTAATATATAATTTTTTATAAGTAAAATAAATACCATTTTACATTTTTAAAATTTCCTCGGTATTATGATTTAATAAAGCCCTATAAATGTATTTTAATATCATTAATATCAATAAAATCTTTTTAATTGTGAAATTTAATTAACAAATGTTAAAAATTATGTGAGACACGACTTTATTTCATTCATTAATAAAATAAAAAAATTTATTACTATTGAATAATATTATTTAAAATTAAAATTCTATTAAAAATATTGATTTATGACTAGAATATACAACTCAAAAAGTCACAAAACTATTGTGTTGTACGAATCGAGAAAGCAGAGAGTGAAG